GCTTTGGCTCAATCAGTTGGTATCAGAGACAGTCCCTTTGATTTCTCAATCGAAGACCGATTCTGGTGATCATGGTGAGTTCAAGCATCTACCCTATCCAGGACAAAAGTCCTTTTGTTGAAAGAGAAGAGAACCATGAGATCTACATCGAGATTCATGGCGATCCTATCTTCGACATATATGAAGACGATGTTATGGTTGTTGACTTCCTCTTCAAAGTTGGATCTTTTGAAGATCAGAGCCGTGCAAAATCCGTTCGAGCAAAAGCTGGGCGACATCAACTTCCTGTGAAATCTAAGCAGGATCAGACCTGTGCAGAGTTCGTGTTCCATGCAAAATTCGAGCGAAACTCGGATCGTGCATAATCCGGGCGGTTGCAGATCTTCGAAAATTTCAGAGAATTACTAATCTGTGCATATTCGGTTCGTGCAGATCCGGTTCGTGTAAGACCCGTGTAAAATCCGATTTATGCAAAAACAACCAAACCGATGTGGAAAAACCGGATGAAGATTCGAGGACGAATCTTTTTAGGCCGGGGGGAGCTGATGTAGCGGAGATACAAGATTCGAGGACGAATCTTTTCTTGGCCGGCGAGACCTGATGCAGCGAGATATTTGGAATATTTCCAAATATCATTATTATCTATTTAGTTATTTAGATTTATATTTTAATGAATATCTTTTAGAATATTCTAGAATGTTCTAGAGAATTTCCAGGATTTTATGTTTTCTTATAAATAGCCTACTAAGGCCTCCTATTGTATTGAGTTATTGATGAATTAATTAATCGAAAGATTTAAAGAGGTTTTGTTAAACCACTGTGAAGAGTATTCACAACCCTAAGAACTTTTCGTGAAAGCCCTGAGAAGACTCTTAATCCCTAGTTTCCGGGTATTCTCAGAATCAATGGATCTAGTTCTATCCCTAGAAGCTTCCGCTCCATCACCCTAGTTGAATCCCCCTTGGGAGAAGGGGTATTTCCAAAGAAAATAAATTTAAGACTGACTTCGGGCCCACGGAGATCAGTTTTTAGGCCCGAATTTCGAAGTTATCGAAAAAACAAAAAAAAATTGTCTATCTTCAAAAATGCACTTATTAAGGATTTTAAAAAACTTGAAACCTCAAATTCTCAATCTTAAAAAGGGTTTTGACCCCTTACAAACCTTAAACCCTAATATAACATAGTTAACCCAAACATAAGTGATATTAAAAATTTTGAAAAGTGACATTTCTTAATATGTATCATATATATATTTCTACACAAATTCTTTAGTATCACATTGATAATGTAAATTAATAAATACATTTTTAACAAAAAAACTAAAGTTTTGATAGGTTATACCTCGTTTGATAAAGTGAGTGGTTCAATCGTTCGTTTGTTACCAATCGGACGAACGGTTGAAACGCAATATTGAAATAGATGGTTTATAAAGAAGTTTAAATGTTTAAACGAAGCGTATGTGAACCGCTAAAAAATAGGTGAGTTTGCAACTGTCTTATTTATTAAACGGGCGTTTAAATTTTTAAAAAAGTTTAAAATATTACTTTTTCAGTTTCAAAAAATATGAAACTGAAATTGTTAAAATCAATATTTCTATTTTAAATTATATTTTTGATATGTTTTTAATTTAAAATGTTAACTATTCAACAGTTTGTAACCAAATTCTAACTATTTTTTTAACCGTTCATTTGAACTCAACCGCCTTCTCTATTTTGTCATTTCTAACCACCTTTTTTACAACCATTCAATTACTCTTTAACCATTTAGTTTAAAAGCGATAACTAATAAGAACCAAACAAAAAATACATACCATATATTTTTGTTCCAAACTTAGCTGAGAAATTTAAAAAAATACTATTTTTCAAGTGCCATTTTTGTAAAGTGTCACACTTTTGAAATCTTTACAAAAATGCCACTTTTTCAAAATTATTATTTTTTTATATTATTTATGTTTGAGTTAATTATGTTCAA